AGCTGGGGGTGGTGATGACCAACAGGGAGCTCTGGCATGGACTGGTCCATGAAGTCACAAAGAGTCGGAAACAACTGAACGAATGAACAACAACAACAAATATACCAAACAAAATGCACCAGACAACGCAACCTACTCCTGTGGATTCATCCTGCAGAGTGTTATCCCCAACGAGTCAGCATATCAGCATCTCCTCATCCCATCTTCTTTCTGTACCTGCTGATGATTTTAGACAACTTTTGTTATTTACTATGATGTCCATCTACACTGTAACCCCATGTATTTTCTTCTTCGCCATTTCTTGTTGGTTGATGTACATGTGAGGAAAACATTGGTTTAGAGCAGTGGTTTTCAACCTGTGGGTTCCCAGATGTTTTGGCTTTCAACTCCCAAAAATTCTGACAGCAGGTAAACGATCCGAGATTTCTGGGTTGAGAATTAGTGGTTTAGAGGATGATATATACTGTGTGGACTCTGAGCATGGTAGGTCCTTTTGAAGGCACCCTTCTCTCCTGAGTCCTTGTGATCTCCAAGGTTCAAAAGATCCCATCAGTTGTTGGAAAACCTAAGCCCTTTTTTACCCATGTAGCAGTTGGTTTTATTCTTTGGCACGCTGGAAATTATGTTTGTCTCTCTGCCTGCTTTGGCATCAAGAATATCTATACTGTGATGATACATTTGCTTAATCCCCTCAACTACAGTCTGAAACATAGCACAACTCAACAATCTCTGAGGAATTTTTTGGGGAATAGATCTGAAAGACGAGAAAATTTGACATTCTCGAATTTGGGTTGTTTTAGGTTTTTCAGACTTCACAACCTCTGAGGATACTTGCCATAGATGCAGGACAAATGTCAGGAGAGAATGCTTCTAGAACATGGCCATACAGCCCAAAAAACCTACAACAACCCAGTGATTCCAGCCATGAAAGCCTTCGATAATACATGCTCAAATTTTCTAAAATTCAGTCCCATGACATTCGTTGTCAATAGTATTAGCACAGTAGTTCTAGAACATTCTATATATGTGGGACATGGATCATTTGAGTCATGTGTTCAAAGCACCATGAAATGTGACAATTTTTGAAATTCAAGACGGCACATGTACCCACAGGCTATGAATGGCAATTTAGACATTTTAGTCATAACAGAAGAGTTCATATGGTTTTGACTGTGGGACAAAGCTGTTTGTGGGTTGCCGTGAGTTTTCCGAGCTGTATGGCTATGTTCTAGAAGCATTCTCTCCTGACATTTCACCTACATCTATGGCAGGCATCCTCAGAGATTGTGATGTCTGTTAGAAACTAGGCAAGTGAGGTTTTTATATCTATGGAATGTCCAAGTGTGTTGTCGAAGGTTTTCATGGTTGGAATCACTAGGTTGCTGTGAGCTTTCCGGGCTGTATGGCCATGTTCCAGAAGCATTCTCTCCTGACATTTCACTCCAATCTATGGCAGGCATCCTCAGATGTTGTGAGGTCACTTGCCTAGTTTTCAACAGACATTAAAATGGAGATATGTGAAACCAAATCAAAAAATCTTGTGTTGATTTTCTAATGGGCATAGGGATTTCATGTAATGGTCATGGGGATTTCACTCTACATTGGTGCATTCTTTAAAAAATAAGTTCCCAGTGGAGTTATAATTCCTGCTATTTCATTCATTGGCAACTTCATCTTCATCACACTTCTGAAATTTCTGCCAGGTTGAAAGATCAGATATAGATATACTCTTCTCTGTAAGTGCCTGGTGCATATATTCTATTGAAACTGACACTACACAAGCCATTTGAAACCTGCAAATACAAATGAGATCTTTGACAATTTCAGCAGGACATTCACCCAGTTGACTGCCTTGTCATTTATCTTATTCTCCCAAAATCTGAGGCCTTCTTCTATGTTCATGGCAGTTTAGCTGCACAATCTTCAATTGCTTTGCCTCCACAGAGGAAAACAGAGATTTCAATTGTATGATGCTTTGCTCCATTTTATTTTCTCAGGATGAGTCCTAAGCTGATTTAGTCCAGTTGCTGAGCTCCGACACGGTGAGTATGAACTTTATTAGTTTTTTTTCATGTAGGTTTGGTGCTGTAGTATTAAAATCAACAGGATACATACCACCAGAAATCTTCATGCAGAAACGGGTGAATTTTTACCCCTATCAATTGATATGATCAGTGTGTTTTCCCTGACCAAAGTTGCTTTTGGAGTTTTCACGTTTCCTTGAGCATTTTAATACAGGGTTTAAGATCTTACCTTTTTTTGGATGCCAGAATCTCTTGTTTTATTATTGGAAGTTGAGAATCCTTTATCTGAAATTCCAAAATCCTTCAAACTCAAAAATTATTTACAGAGATGGCTGAGATAGTAACACTTTTGCTTACATAGTGCATAGCCTTTCTTGCATGTAGAAAATTATTAAAAATATTATATAAAACTATCTTCAAGCTGTGTGTAAGATATATATGCAACATAAATTAATTTATTGTCTGGATTTGTACAAAGATATTGCATTATGTACATATATGCAAATACAAGTATTCTAAAATAATTTTGAAAAAGTCAAATCCCAAACAATTCTGGTTCCAAGCAGTTTAGATAAGAGCTATTCTGTTGTTGTTGTTGTTGTTTCCAAATGCAGAGTCTTTTTGTATAAAAAAGAGAATAGTTTGAAAATGTAAAAGGTCATAGCCAAAATGATTATTGACTGGAAATACAATATATTTGACTAATCTAACCTTTGCTTTTGCAAATGATAATGTAAGATTTATATTATAAATGGAACCTAATATTATTTTCAGGGTTTCCCATATGGCTCTTTATCTTCTTTCTATCATTTGAAGCAGCTTTGATTTTGTTGCATATTTCTCTGATTTGTTACATAACATGATACCCTCTCATTTTAAAACTAAAGACCAGTATTCTCTATCATCTACTTAGTTAAGTGAACTTAACTGAGGAAACTTTCCCAAATCTGACTGAGTCACTATTGCTACAGTCAGTCATAACTCCCCAACCCACTCAGCTGCATGGTAAAGAAGGAAGTCTTTTCATGGAAGAATGATGTTTTCATCAGGGTTGCCCAAGGTGATGATGGTGTCAAGCAAGGAAAGGCTACTTTATTAATGAAATGTGCATCTACACTGTAGCATTAATGCAGTTTGATATGTAATGCTTGCCACTTACACAAATAGTATATTCTTAAACTGTAGTACCACAAAGATAGATCAGTACAGATAAACCTATTGCATACAATATTGATACAACAGGAATGAAAACAGCAAGAATATTTCCAGAAAATATTTACTGAGGTATATAAAAGGGGTTTTGTGTGTGTGCCTTCAAGTTGTCTGCCAACTTATGGTGACCCGATTTATTTTATAGGGTTTCCGTAAACACTGAATACTCAGAGTTGGTCTTGCTAGTTCCTTCCTCTGAAAAACAATTTATGGCACCTGGTAGTTATTTGCAGTTTCCCATCCAAATAGTCACTCGGGTTAGTTGCTTAGCTTCCAGGATCAGACAGGATTTGGTGCCCTTGGGGTCTTTAAGCAGACTAATAAATATATGGGTATCATGAATATGAACCAGCTGCAAATAGCCTACACATTCTCAAATGAGGCCTCATTTACACTACCATATAGTCCAGTTTCTGAATCCAGATTATCTGATTTGATCTGGATTATATGGCAGTATAGATTTATATAGAGCCTCCGGTGACGCAGTGGGTTAAAGCACTGAGCTGCTGAGCTTGTTGATCGAAAGGTCGCAGGTTCGATTCCGGGGAGCGGCGTGAGCTTCCGCTGTCAGCCCTAGCTTCTGCCAACCTAGCAGTTCGAAACCATGCAAATGTGAGTAGATCAATAGGTACTGCTCTGGCGGGAAGGTAACAGCACTCCATGCAGTCATGCCGGCCACATGACCTTGGAGGTGTCTACGGACAACGCTGGCTCTTCGCTTAGAAATGGAGATGAGCATCACACCCCAGAGTCAGACATGACTGGACTTAATGTCAGGGGACTACCTTTACCTTTACCATAGATTTATATGATCCAGTTCAAAGCAGATAATCTGGATTCCTAAACTGGCACTGAAAGCCTTGCAGGCCACATAAAATGACATGGTGGGCTGGATTTGGCCCACAGGTCTTGTGTTTGACACATGTGCCTTAGGGTTATCCTAAATCAAAAACAACTTGAAGGCACAAGGCAAAACAAATCCATTTATGATCTGCATGACCTTCTTGTGATGGAATGCATTGATTTCCAAATTTTCATGTTCTTAACTTTTCCTGATTTCAGTTCATGTTTAACCTTCTGCTCCTTCTCTCTCCTACAG